CTCTACACGTTCCCTGTGCGTTTGAGCCAGGTGAGGTTCCACTGCAGCTCCAGCTGCCCCAGGGTCTCACCAGGAGACACGTAACACATACGAGATCGAAGCCGTCACAGACACACCCAAGTGGGCAGCAGAACACTGCGTGGGGTCAGGGTGCAGGGTGAGCGCCACCCCGACTCTCCCAGCAGTGGCTGGTCGTTAGCCTCTGTCACTGAGAGTTCTGCCACAAGGCCATTAAGACAAACACATGGCTGTGTGCGGTGGCTGCTGCCTGAAATCCCGGCATTGTGGGAGGCTGAGTCAGGTGAGTTGCTCAAGGCCAGGAGTCAAGACAGCCTGGGCAACACAGTGAGACTCTGTCTCTACAACAAACACAAACTCTAACTGGGCATGGTAGCATATGCCTGTAGTCTCAGCTACTCGGGAGGCTGAGGTGGAAGGATCACTTGAGCCACTCCAGCCTGGGCGACAGAGGGAGACCCTGTCTCAACAAAAAAACAAAAAACAAAAAAAAAAACACACATAGGCAAGGCAACTGGCTATACATTAAAAAACAAACATAAGCAAACTTTACATGCTTCACAAACATTTCAATTCATCTACACAAGGGTTTCTAATCTGGTATCCATGAATAATCAATAACAGACAAGCCCTTGAAGGTTATGGGCAAAATAATTTGTGAATTTTCTGAGGAGATGGCCCTTCAACAAATTCTCAAAGGCTCTATGACCCAAAAAAGGTAAGCAACCACTCTGTGACAGCTTCAGGAAGACAAGGATGAGTTCAACAAAACATCGAGTACAGAAGACTTGGCACACACTCCCACAATATGCTAATTCACTAGTGACTATTAGCGTGGGACTCGACACCAAGATTCTAATCCTGTGTGACAGAAGGGCATATCCGTAGATGAACATCAAATACTGGTCACAGGCAGGGTATCTCCGAAAATGGAAGGAGAGCGACAAGCAGGCATGGTGCCCAAGTTGCTCACATACATGCTTTTGACTCAGGAGGCACTCATGGTAACTACAGTTCAAGCACAAGGCAGGGCACACGCCACGGAGCCCCACGCAGTCCGGACACTGACATGGCCACTTTCAGGCTGTAGGAACCTGAAAAAGGACGTGTCCTCTCCAAGCTTCTTCTGAAAAGGGGAAGCCCTAGGTCCTGCCTAGACCTGTGGTGGAGAGAAGTGAAATCATCCTGAAAAAGCACAAAAGGGCCCATACGTGTTAAGTTCTTACAGTGTTGTTACCAGGAAAGCAGAAACAAACACGCGGCCACTGTTACTACCTGGAGGTATTAACTCAGTTACCTGAGAAATGGTTAAGTTTGCAAAAGGAAAATTGGGTCCCAAACATTGACAATATCTTAAACTACCAGTTGCTTTTCTAAGTCACGGGAGCCCTGGATGAGGCCCTGCAAACTACCTGCGAAGCAGAAGGACAGCCCAAAACTTTCCGGCCAGCGGCCTCTTCAAATCCAAGGGGAGCCTGTTTCACCCACATTCTACTGGGCTCCCCGAGGACTGCAGGTTGCCCTGTAGCTGCTGGACTGGGACACACTTTGGTCACGCTAGGTGGCAAGAAAACCATCTGCCACCAAAACAAAGCAGTCCCCCACCAGACACAAGTCGGGAGAGAAAGCTACCTCTGAGGAAAACCATCTGAGTATTTACTGAAAAACTACCTCCCGGGCATGGTGGCTCCCGCCTGTCATCCCAGCACTTTGGGAGGCCAAGGTGGGCAGATCACGAGGTCAGGAGATCAAGACCATCCTGGCTAACATGGTGAAACCCTGTCTCTACTAAAAATACAAAAAAAAAAAAAAATAGCCGGGCGTGGTGGCGGGCGCCTGTAGTCCCAGTTACCGGAGAGGCTGAGGCAGGAGAATGGCGTGAACCCGGGAGGCAGAGCTTGCAGTGAGCCGAGATCGCGCCACTGCACTCCAGCCTGCGTAACAGAGCAAGACTCTGTCTCAAAGAAAATAATAATAATAAAAAAAAAATTAAAACTACCTTCAGGAAACTTCCCATCTCTTCTAGAAATAGAAGCACAGATGCCCGCACGTCATGAGTGTTCACCCTGTGAGGAGCCTACTGCTCTCCCTGAATGTGTGGACCCGTCCTCCAAAAGGGCAGCCTGCGCCCGCACAGAGTCCCCCCACTTCAGGAGACCTCTGGAAAAGTCCTGGGTCAACTCTGGGGTGTCACGGTCCCGGAGGTTGCTCTCGGTACTTAGAGGGCCAGGGCCAGGGACGTTAATCATCCAGACAGCTGTCCCACCAGAACGTGCAGCATTCCACTGAAGACACAGCTCTGAGGAACTGTTTAGCCATGGCCGCTTACTTGGTCTTCTTGATGCTCCTGAATTCTTACTATTAATCACACAAACGGGCAGGCCCAGCGTCTGTGACTGGGCGGGACTGAAGTCCTTTTCACAGAGGCTGTGAGCTACCCAGGGACGTGAGGGCAGCAAGCTATCCAGGTGCCAAGGCAAGAGACCGAGGGCACGAGCTATTCCAGTATAATAAAATACATTAAACAAGTTATACTAGATGTAAATCATAAACATGATTACATATAAATATCATTAATCATTAGTTCGTAGCAATTACTCTTCATTCCAATATTATAATAATCCTCGCTCTACAATCATAACCTAGGAAAAACCAGGCCATACAGAGACGGAGCTGAAGGGGCACGCTGAGAAGTGACCAGAAGACAAGAGTGTGAGCCCTCTGTTATGCCTGGGCAGGGCCACTAGAGGGCTCTTTGCTCTACTGGTAACGCCAGCACCTGGGAAGATGCCTATTTCCAAGCGGACTGTGGTCTAGCGGTAGCTTCAGTGCTAAGGAAAAACACCCGCTACTTAGCAGACCAGGAAAGGGAGTCTCCCTTCCCCCGGGGGAGTTCAGAGAAGACTCTACTCCTCCACTTCTTTGTGGAGGGTCTGACATCAGCCAGGCCCGCCCGCAGTTATCCAGAGGCCTAACGGTCTCCCTGTGATGCTGTGCTTCAGTGGTCACGCTCCTAGTCCGTTTTCATGTTCCATCCTGTGCACCTGGCTCTGCCTTTTATATTACCAAAATAGTGAAAAATTATTTTATAGTACCAAAATTAGTGAAAGTACTAAAAGTCTCTGATATGCAGAAATAATGGCATAAGCTGTCTCTCTCTCTCTGTGCCTCGGCTGCCAGGCAGGGAAGGGCCCCTGTCCAGTGGACACGTGACCCACGTGACCTTACCTATCACTGGAGATGGCTCACACTCCTTACCCTGCCCCTTTGACTTGTATCCAATAAACATCAGTGCAGTCTGGCGTTCAGGGCCACTACTGGTCTCCACGTCTTGGTGGCAGGGGTCCCCTGGGCCCAGCTGTCTTTTCTTTGATCTCTTTGTCTTCTGTCTTTATTTCTACAACCTCTCATCTCCGTACACGGAGAGAAAAACCCACTGACCCTGTGGGGCTGGACCCTACAAGGACACGAGCTGAGGAAGCCAGGCATGCATGCCACACTCCACCACGGACAAGCAGGGCACACACTCCTAGTGAGTAAGTGATTAAAACACAGAGGGACGTGAACAAGAGCCTCTGTTGAGAGCTCAAAGCTAACTGTACAAATTGGTGTGAAAAATTATTTTACAACTTGTGGAAAATGTCAAGAGCCCAAAGGCTTTCACAGAGACAGAAAGTACAGTCAGGCACCACTCGACATTCTGAGAAACGCCTGGCCAACACGGTGAAAACCAGTCTCTAACAAAAATACAAAAATTAGCCAGGCCTGGTGGCGCACACTTGTAATCCCAGCCACTTGGGAAGCTGAGGCACGAGAATCGCTTGAACCCAGGAGGCAGAGGTTGCAGTGAGCCCAGATCGTGCCACTGCACTCCAGCCTGGGCGACAGAGAGAGACTATCTCCAAAAGAAAAAAGCGAAACGTATGGTTACATGATTTCCTTCTGAGCTATCATCAGTCACTGGCAGACCTGATGGTGTAAGGCCTACAATGCACCTAAGCCACCCAGTGGAGCCTCCTGCTTGTGGGCCACAAACCTGCGCAGCAGGTGGCTGTGCTGAACACTACGCAACTGTAACACAGAGGTATTCCTGTACCTAAACACGGAAAAAGTACAGGGGCAGGCATGGTGGCTCAGGCCTGCAGTCCCAGCTCTTTGGAAGGTTGAGGGAGGAGGACCACTTGAGCCCAAGAGTTTTGAGGCCGCAGCGATCTATGAGCTATGATCGCACCACTGCACTCCAGCCTGGATGACAGAACGAGAAAGCTAAAGCCTCTATCCGCCACCGGGCCCATTCTCTGCAGTAGATCTGAAGCCTCCACTGCTTCCCCCGTGTTGTCAATCACCATTTTAATTAGATGACTCTTTAGTCTGACGTCTGTCTCTCCTACTAGGCTGCCGCGCTCTCCTGTGACGCCTTCACCCACACACCCTGAGCACCTAGCACAGGTCGTGTGTTTCACGGGAGCTGCGGGGACCGGAGACGTCGACAGGACCCCGACAAACCAGGAAAAGGCCTTTGAACTAAAGTAACGGGAATTCACCCAAGCGCTTTAAGTTAAAAACGGTTGCAATAAAACCGGAGCCACTTTGGCTCCGGTTTGCGACTGGTTTAGAGGGAACAAGATCCAGGGACTGCCGCGGTCCAACAGGCGGGAGACGAGAGCCGGGCCAAGGCGGACGGGAGAGAGCGTACGAGAGGGCGACCTGCGACCCGGCTTCCCAGGGCTGGGAGGGGACACCCGGGACGACCCGGAGGCCCGCTCCGCCCCGCCCCGGCTGAGTGTCGGGCCGCGGGACAAGACGCTGGCCTGGCCGGTGCAGGCCCCAAGGGCTGCGGCCCAGAGTTCGGGGACCGCTGCGCAGCCAGAGGGAGCGCGCGGGAAGAGCCGCGTCCCACCAGTTCCGTCGCCTAGTGGTCCCCCGGGCCCGGCAGTCCCCCAAACCCCTCTCCGCGCCCGCGCTCTGCCGGGACTCACCGCAGTACCGGAGCCACAGCCCCCGCGCAGCCCCCCACGGCGGCGGAAGTGCGCACGACGTCACGTCCGGCTCGGCTGGCGGACGGTGGCCGACAGGCTGCGCCCGCCCGGGCCCGGGGTGATGCAGCTGCCCCCCGCGCTGTGCGCCCGCCTCGCCGCGGGGCCCGGGGCGGCGGAGCCACTGCCTGTAGAGCGGGACCCCGCGGCTGGGGCCGCGCCCTTTCGCTTCGTTGCGCGCCCGGTGCGCTTCCCGCGAGAGCACGAGTTCTTCGAGGTGCGTGAACAAAATTGGGAAAAGGCAGTTGTGGGACCCAGCTGGGCCTACGGCTGCGGGGCGGGGCTGGAGCCGGGAGTGGGCGGGGCCTGAGGCTGCAGGGCGGTGCTGGAGCCTGGAGCGGGCGGGGCCTACGGCTGCGGAGCGGGGCTGGAGCCTGGGACAGGCGATACCTGAGGCGATGGGGAGGGGCCGGAACGGACGTGGGCGGGGCCTGAGGCTGCAGGGCGGAGCCAAAGCCTGGAGCAGGCGGAGCCTATGGTTGTGGGGCGGGGCCGAGCCGGGAGGGTGGAGCCTACAGCTGTGGGGCGGGGCCGGATGCCGGGATGGGTGGGGCCACGGGTGTGGGCGAGGCCTGACGCGTGGGACTGCCTCGAGGCACCTGGCCCCGCCGACGGCGCACTTCTCCTGCAGGATGGGGACGTGCAGCGCCACCTCTACCTCCAGGACGTGCTCATGCAGGTGGCCGACGCGCCTGAGAAGCCCAGGTAAGCGGCTGGGCAGTGCCCTGCCAGTGCTATTTCTGCGCCGTCTCCCTGCCTCTTGCCTAGTCCCTGGGGCTGCGCTGCCGCCTTTCCATGTGCGGCTGCCCCACCAAGGCGCTGTGCCTGTCCAGATTTGGCATGGCTGACTCCACCATCATCTAGCCTGTTAGTGAAACTTAATTCATAAAAAGAGGGCTTGGGGTCGCAAAAGATGCATGGGGTTTTATTGGAGGTCTCAAAGGGAAACTGTGCAGAAAGTCCAGCTTGGTTCCTCGCACCCGAGGAAGGGCCCCTGAAGCAGGTCTCCTTGGCAGGGTGCCCGCGTTTGCCTGCCAGGTGGCCGGCTGCTGCCAGGTGTTCGATGCCCTGGACGACTACGAGCACCACTACCACACGCTGCACGGAAATGTTTGCTCCTTTTGCAAGCGGGCCTTCCCTTCCGGACATTTGCTGGACGCCCACATCCTGGAGTGGCACGATTCGCTCTTCCAGATCCTGTCTGAGAGGCAGGACATGGTGGGTGAGGTCTACATAGCCGCCGAGGCCACCCCCAGTGGTGATGGGCTCAGAGTGCTGCCCCCAGCTTTCGGGTGCACAGGGGCAAGGCCAGGGATGCCTTTCCGCCCTTGGCAGCCCTGCTAGAGGGGCATGGTGGTGGGGGAGGGCCAGGGGTCAGAGGGAGGTGATGCCGTCTCCGTTTCAGTATCAGTGCTTGGTAGAAGGCTGCACAGAGAAGTTCAAGACCAGCAGAGACCGGAAGGACCACATGGTGAGGATGCACCTGTACCCCGCGGATTTCCGGTTTGATAAGCCAAAGAAAAGCAGAAGGTAGGGAGCCGCCAGGCTCTGCACGTGTCTGTTTTTGATTTTAGGAAGAGGCTTCCAACCAGCCGGAACACATAGACTGTCAGACTTATCCTAATGGGGTGTCCACCTACACCCCATGTACTTGAAGCCCTGGCAGCACAGCTACAGGTGGTTGTGCCAGTGGCCACCCTGCCGAAGGGAGGCTGGAGGGGAGCCCCTGGCTGCCCAGCTCTGTGCGGGTGGAGGCAGCAGAGGGGGTGTGGGAATGAGCAGGCACAGCACCTCCACACTCACACCCCTTGGGGCTGTGCCTCCACCTCCTGCAGCAGTTGGCTGTGCTCACACATCATGCAGCCCTAGCTTTCTCTTTGTCCTGGTTGCATATGAACTTGATGCCAAAGCCGTTTATTAACATGTTCCTGCCTAGAGCGCACGCTGGGAAATACTTCCAAGAACAATCTTTTTTTTGAGACAGGGTCTTGCTGTGACACCCAGGCTGGAGTGCAGTGGTGTGATCTAGGTTCACTGCAACCTCCACTTCTCAGGCTCAAGCGATTCTCCCACTTCAGCCTCCTAAAGTGCTAGGACCTGCCAACATGCATCACCACACCTGGCAAAATGTTCTATTTTTTGTAGAGACAGGGTCTTGCTATGTTGCCCACTCTGGTGGTGAACTCCTGGGCTCAAGCAATCCACCTGCCTCAGCCTCGCAAAGTGCTGAGATTACAGGTATGAGCTACCACATCCAGCTGGAACAATTTTTAAATTGTGTTATATTTCTTTTTTTTTTAACTGATTATTTTAGGTGAACCTTCATAATCATCTAAAATTGTATTGATCGAAGTCTTTCAGACTACATTTTCTCAAGTAGTAATTTGCTGTTTAAAATAAAATAATTGGGAGAACTCACTGCAATATGGAAAGCTTTACAAAGACTTATGTATAAAGTAATTGTCTCCTTTCCAAGGGATCGTTTTAAGGAGAAAAACCCTGCAATGCTGGATTGAGACATTCGTATTATGAAAGAGACTAGTCTATAGTCTTTGGTTAACTTTAGCAAATTTCTCACACTCGTAAAAAGACCTGTGGCACCGTTGGCACCAAAAATACTATTTTCAAGAAAAGTGTGATTGTTACAGTTAAGTTTATAAAATACAGCCTTTATTATATAAACAATGACCTTGCTGTAATCATTTTCCTTTTCCCAGTATCCTGAAAACCACACTATAAAATTAGACTATGCCAAAATAGAAAATATGCTACTTACAAGGAAATCCAGTTTCTTTCTTGCACATTCATTTCTGGGGAGCATGGGGGCTGTAGGAGCCATGCAGGGCTGCTGCTCACTGCTCTGTCCCCACAGCCCAGCCTCAGCGGAAGTCCCAGGGGACAGTGGAGAGCGGTCAGAAGGGGAGGCCATGGAAATCTGCTCCGAGCCTGTGGTGGCCTCCCCTGCACCGGCCGGTGAGAGGCGGACCTACAGTCATAGGTCAGTGTCCAAGCTGTTTCTGAAACACGTTCTCAATGTGTGTTCGGTGCTGAGGATTCTGGGTTGCACCCTGGGCCGCTGAGCTTCTCATACTGAATTCAGAAAGGTAACACTGGGAAAGAAAATCGGCTTCCGATTTTGCCGGAGAAGAAAGTCCAGATGTTTCAGGTCCTGTGGATAACTAAGTTTCTCTCGCATACTCTGTTTTTGAGGCGCTGAAGTGCAGGAATGCCAAGCACCACTCCCTTTTCCTCATTGTCTGAGTGGGATGGAAAGAGTCCCACTTGCCGTTGCTTCAGTTACAACCCAGGCGTCTGCTTTTCTCGCGCTACCTGTGCCGTCTGCCTTCCTAGCATTACCTGTACTTGTATTGGGTTAAAGTTGATTTCAAATTAATTTGGGGAAAACAGTGAACAATTGGGGAAAAACATCCAAGACTCCAAACAGGTGGAAAGATGAACTTAGCGTTCCCTGCACCCCCTTACAGATGCCTGGACTTTGGCCTGTGGATGAGCCCCGGGGGGCTGGGGCAGTAGGGGTTTCCACTGGACAGACGTGGGGTAGCAGGAAGTCTCAGCCCCAGAGGACTTGGCAGGAGCCACCGTCTCTGCTGAGTTCTTCCCAGTGGGTGTGCGTCGGTGGCTGGCGGGAATCTCCCCCAGGAAGTAGGTCTTAGACAGGCTGTGGAAAGGGCGCTGCCCCAGGGCCCAGGAGGGCTGGCTCTGCATCCCGCATGTTCCCAGAGTGAAAGAGAATGAGAAGGAGACACACGACTGCTGTTATGACTTGGGTTGTTGGTTGGCAAATGCAGTGTCTAATACAAACTTTCTTCCATCCCAGAATACCCTCTACCATCTGCTTTGGTCAGGGTGCTGCTCGAGGATTTAAAAGCAACAAGAAGAAAACCAAACAGTGCTGATAGATTCAGAAAAGGAGTGGGGGGCAGTCACCACTGGTGGGAGTGGCATCCACCGTGGGCCCTTCTCTGACCTTCTAGTGTGGCCACCCTGGGGCCAGGCCCTCGCCATCCTCCCTGTCCCTGTTCCTCAACAAGTGGCATCAGCAGCCATCATCAGAAGCAGTGAGGGACTCACAGATTTTGGAAACGACCTCGAGACACTATTGGGACTGAGATGTGGACGGCCTGCCTCCCCCTGCAGGGCAAACCCTAAGAATGTATTTTTAAACACATGAAATAAGTATTTTTCACTGATGGTCTTGTGCCTTCATTTCGGTGTTGAGTCAGGTGGGGAATGGTCATTGTTACCCATGTGTATTCTGTTTTCCACCCTCGGTTTTCAGGAAGATTTATAAAGTCCTGGCACTCCTCAGACGTGGGTGATGGCTTAGGATACAGCACTCCACCTCGTCCCAGACCTCCTGGCTTTGGGAGCCACCCCCGGTTGTCCCTGCCACACCACTCGGGGTAGACCTGGCGGGGGTAGGCAGTGATGCCCACAGGGAGGGGCACAGTGGCTCTGGGGGTGTGGGGTGCTGGGGGTGTATGGGGTGGTGGAGGGTGCTGCCCCAGAGGGCGCAGGACCCATCACTGGTGCCAGCAGGGACCACAGAACCTGCAGCAGGAAACGCAGGCCTGGAGGTTGGGGCTGGCAATGGATTGCAGAGAATACTGGAAGCAGTGTGTCCTGGAGAAACCGCTCTGTTTTGATAAAATTAGGGCTCTTGGACCCCTGACCATGTCTTCCTCCAGAGGCCCTGTTCCCACAGCATGTGACTGAGGTGCTCCTGGCCCCCCGCCCCCGGCCTCACCTCACAGCCCCCGGCCTCACCCCCGCCCCCGGCCTCGCCTCACAGCCCCCGGCCTCGCCTCACACTCCGCGGCATCACTTCACAGCCCACTCCTTTTGGGGCTCTGGGTCTGGCTGGAGGCAGCCGGTGGTCATCTGCAGCTGCTGCCCGGCTCCACAGGGCGATGCTGAGAGCTCTCCAGCAACCTGGAATCAGGGAATCTCAAGGGCCTCAGGTTCAGAGCTGACATCGCTCAGTGCTTTGTGCTCTGAAAACTGAAGGCAGGTTCCCAAGCACTCAAGGGAAGACACTAAAGCCTGAAGCCCAGGCCTGGGTGCACAGGTGAAGAGAGGCTTAACATGCACGTTTGTGGGGTGGGAGAAGAGCAATGACTGAGGGTGGCTGTGGCGGGGTCACCTGGGGCCGGTCAGCTGCTTGAGAAAGCATAACACAAGAAAAATGCAAACATGCACATTTACAGCTCGTTCTGTCTTCCCGAAGAGATCCTGTCCCAGCCCGTCAAGTCCTTCTCCAGCTCCTGCATGAGCTCCCTGCACAAGGCCGGCAGCACAGCCTTGGTGGCAGTGCTCCACGAAGATGTGTTAGCCCTTTCCACAACAGCAGATTCTGCTAAAACTCTTTTGTTCACAGCAGGACTGTTTTATACTCTTTGGGGGCTGTAGGTCCTGGGTTCCAATCCTAGCTTCATCTCTGCCTGGAAGCTGTTTGTTTATTCTGTCTCAGTTTTTCTTCTGACAAGTGGGGAGTATAGAACTTCGGTATGAAGAATGTTACTGATTTTTTTTTAAAGCCAGCATCGTAATTGTACGTGGGCTGCATCCATTTCTAAGGAGATGCTCATGTTTCTTTTTTTTCTTTTTCTTTTTTTCCTTTTTTTTTTTTTTTTTTTTGAGACAGTCTTGCTCTTCTTGCCCAGGCTGGAGTGCAGTGGCATGACCTTGGCTCACTGCAATCTCTGCCCCCCAGTTTCAAGCGATTCTCCTGCCTCAGCCTCCTGAGTAACTGGGATTACAGATGCACACCACCATACCCGGCTACTTTTTGTATTTTTAGTAGATACAGCGTTTCACTATGTTGGCCAGGCTGGTCTTGAACTCCTGACCTCAGGTGATCTGCCTGCCTCGACCTCCCAAAGTGCTGGGATTACAGTCGTGAACCACCGCGCCAGGCAGGTGCTCATGTTTCTGCTGCAAGACCTATGAGAGCTGAAGCCAGCTGGACTTCCTGGGTCGAATAGGGACTTGGAGAACTTTTCTGTAGCTAGCTAGAGGTTTATAAAATGCACCAATCAGGGCTCTGTAAAAACACACCAATCAGTGCTCTGTAGCTAGCTAGAAGTTTTTAAAGTGGGCCAATCAGTACCCTGTAAAATGGACCAATCAGCAGGACATGGGCAGGGACAAATACAGAGAATAAAAGCTGGCCACACACACACACACACACACACACACACACACACACACACACACACACACACACACACACACACACACACACACACACACACACACACACACACACACACACACACACACACACACACACACACCCCTCCCCTGCCCAGCCAGCAGTGGCAACTGGCTGCTGTTCACAGTAAATCTTGCTGCTGCTCACTCTTTGGGTCCATGCTATCTTTAAGAGCCATAACACTCACCGCTAAGGTCCATGGCTCCATTCTTGAAGTCAGCGAGACCATGAACCCACTGGAAGGAACCAACTCTGGACACACCTGGACGTGGCTTCCAGGTCACAGCTGTCAGAAGACTCCAGACAAGACACAGGATGGAATGGCCACAACCCCCAGGACACAGAGATGGAAGGCACCCCCGGGGAACACACACAGGTGGAGAGACGCACCCCGGAACACACACACAGGTGGAGAGGCCACACCCCCCAACACACACAGGTGGAGAGGCCGCACCCCCACCCGAACACACAGGTGGAGAGGCCGCACACCCCGGAACACACACAGGTGGAGAGGCCGCACCCCCACGCCCCGGAACACACAGGTGGAAAAGCCTTTTGGAACACACACAGGTGGAGAGGCCACACCCCCGGAACACACACAGGTAGAGAGGCCGCACCCCCGAACACACAGGTGGAGAGGCGCCCAACCTCCCGGAACACACACAGGTGAGAGGCCGCATCCCGCCCCGGAACACACACAGGTGGAGGGCGCACCCCACCCCGAACACACACAGGTGGAGAGCCGCACCCCAGACACACAGATGGAGAGGCCGCACCCCCGGAACACACAGATGGAGAGGCCACACCCCGGAACACACAGATGGAGAGGCCGCACCCCCGGAACACACAGATGGAGAGGCCACACCCCCGGAACACACATGAGTGGAAAAGCCGCAGCCCCGGAACACACACAGGTGGAGAGGCCACCTCCCAGACACACACAGGTGGAGAGGCGCAACCCCGGAACACACAGATGGAGAGGCCACACCCCCGGAACACACACAGGTGGAGAGGCCGCACCCCAGACACACAGGTGGAAAAGCCGCACCCCGGAACACGCACAGGTGAAGGCGCACCCCGGAACACGCACAGGTGGAGAGGCCGCACCCCGGAACACACACAGGTGGGCGCACTTCCCCCGGAACACACAGATGGAGGCCACACCCCGGAACACACAGATGGAGAATACACCGCCCCGGAACACACACACAGGTGGAGAGGCCGCACCCCGGAACACGCACAGGTGGAGGCCGCACCCCGGAACACGCACAGGTGGAGAGGCCGCACCCCCGGAACACACACAGGTGGAAAAGCCGCACCCCGGAACACGCACAGGTGGAGAGGCCAGGCCCAGCTGTGCATGGATGACTCGGGCTGAAGTGCAGCCGTGGGTGCCGGTGCAGGTCTCCGTCCTTCACAGGAAACAGGGGAGGCCGGGGCCATGCGGCCCGTCCCTTCATCCTCCGGCCCCTGCGCCCGCTCCTCCCATGGCCAGGCTGTGCCCGTGTCTGCTCCACCGCCAGCCGGCCGATACCCCAGGCGTGCGGAGACAAGACCTCAGGCGACCGGTCGCCGTCCTCCCCGCGGCCCGGGGCGGCACGTGCGGCTGCAGCGCCACCTCCTGGAGGCGTCAGCAAGTGTCGCCTTCTCCGCTGGGTGTCAGCTCGGACACCAGGAGGGATGCGCTTGGAGGATGTGGGTGGCCCGTGGGGGCGGCGCAGGGAGTCGGCGGTCGCCGTGGTCTGGCCCAGCTTCCAGGCCTCCCATTGCCGGGAGCAGGCGGCTGGGAGCCTGTGGGAGGTGTGGGAGCAGGCAGGGTCGCAGAGATCCTCGGCTCCAGCCACCCTGCGCGAATGTAAAGCCTCTGCCCGCGGGCCTCAGTTTACCCATCTGTAGATGAGCAGGTGACAGGTGAGCTCCAAGAATTAGCCAGATTTGAAGCCCAGTGCTGGGAACACAGTGGACACATTCCTTGACTCCTACTGTCCCCCTTGCCCCTCTCTGCCTCTCGCGCTCATTCACGTGCACAGTCAGACGATCCACTCCACCTCCTTTCTGTATGTGGTTCCGTGCTCACACTCACACACGCTCACACAATCCATGCCCCTCCTCTCTGTATGTGTGTCCCTGCTCACACACATGCTCACACTCACACACGCTCACACACACGCTCACACAATCCATGCCCCTCCTCTCTGTATGTGGTTCCGTGCTCACACTCACACACGCTCACACAATCCATGCCCCTCTGTATGTGTGTCCCTGCTCACACACATGCTCACACACTCACACACGCTCACACCAATCATGCCCCTCCCCTCTCTGTATGTAGTTCCGTGCTCACACACACACACATGCTCACACTAACACTCACACACACACTCCACACTCCCTCCTCTCATGTGTGCATCCTGCTCACACACACACATGCTCACACTAACACTCACACACACACTCCACACCCCCTCCTCTCTGTATGTGCCTCTGTGCTCACATTCCCACACACTCCTTATGCTCATGCACACACACAATCCATGCCACCTCCTCTATGTGTATCTGTATTCACGCTCACACTAAGACACACACACAATCCACA